GGGAAAAAAGGCAGGTTCACATGTGTGTGCTCACTGTGACACGGGAGAAAAGGCAGGTTCACGTGTGTGTGCTCACTGTGACACGGGAGAAAAGGCAGGTTCATATGTGTGCTCACTGTCACACGGGAGAAAATGCAGGTTCATGTGTGTGTTCTCACTGCGACACAGGAGAAAATGCACGTTCATGTGTGTGTGCTCACTGCAACACGGGAGAAAATGCACGTTCATGTGTGTGTGCTCACTGCAACACGGGAGAAAATGCAGGTTCATGTGTGTGTGCTCACTGTGACACGTGAGAAAATGCAGGTTCATGTGTGTGTGCTCACTGTGACATGAGAAAAGGTAGGTTCATGTGTGTGCTCACTGTGACACGGGAGAAAATGCAGGTTCATGTGTGTGCTCACTGCGACACAGGAGAAAATGCAGGTTTGCATGTGCGTGCTCACTGTGACACGGGAGAAAATGCAGGTTCATGTGTGTGCTCACTGTGGGGAGAAAATGCAGGTTCGCGTGTGTGCTCACTGTGACACGGGAGAAAAGGCAGGTTCATATGCGTGCTCACTGTGACGCGGGAGAAAAGGCAGGTTCACGTGTGTGTGCTCACTGCGACACGGGAGAAAAGGCAGGTTCATGTGTGTGTGCTCACTGTGACACGGGAGAAAATGCAGGTTCACGTGTGTGTGCTCACAGTGACGTGTAATAATCCAACCACAACACAGTCCTTGTCCCTCTCTCCTGCTGTGGAACCGCCCACTGTTTCAGTCACAGGGTTCTTTCCTTCCTCCCTGTCCAGAGGAGAAAGGGCCCCTCCTCTTGTAGGAATCTAAGTCCCTGCCTGAGCCCTGGGTTCTGCAGCCCCTCCAGCTTTCTTGGGGTCCCACCCTATCTTGTCAGGAGTCCCAGCCCCCTGTCTTCTCAGAGGTCCTGGCCCCTATATTCTAAGGGATCCCACCCTATTTTTTGAGGGCCCAGCTCTATCTTCTCTAGGTCCCCACCTCCCCCACTATTCATGTCCTCAGCATGAGCCTGCAGCACATGCCCTGCAGTGCTGTCTACTGACTCCCCATCCCTCCCCACCCCTCCCTGCCTCTCTCCACCCCTCTCAGCCTCCCTGGACTCCAGGCAGTCCCACCTCCTTCAGGTCAGCTTCGGAGGAAGGACAGAGCAGTAAGCTGTGTGCACCTGCTGCTTCCTGTCCTTGCCTCCCATTTCCTCCCTCCCTACATCATAGCGTGAAACAGAGGCTCCAGCTTAACCTCCACCCTCACCAGTGCTGGCTGCAGCCGCCTCCTCACCTGCTTTGCAGGGACCCCCTCCAAGGTCACAGCAACCCCAAGGCCACGCCCACCCTGACTCCATGGTCAGTCCAAATGTTCCTGCTCCTCAGAACCTGCCCTGAGCCCCCTCCGTCTCCCTCTGCTCACCCCCTGACCCCACGCATGCATCCTGGCTGCACTGCAACTCCCTCAGTCCCAAACCCCCACTGCAACAGCAGCACACCACTTACTCACCTCCTCAAGCCAGAGCCCGGGACTCCCACTACATGCCTCCTTTCCCCACACACCTCCTTCTGCCGTGCGAACAAGTCACAGCAGTCCCCCTCCGAAACTGACCCCAGATGTGCCCGTCTACATCCTCCTTCCTTCTGGACAAGGGCGAGGGGAGAGAAGGAAAGGTGATTGATTTCAAATCCAAGTTAGATCACACCTCTGTGCTTCAACTCACAACCTGGATAAACCCCACACTCCCCCACCTTGGCCCAGCAGGCCACAGGCCTGGCCCTGCCTCTCTGTCCCCCTCCTCCCTCTCAGCACCCCGCCCTCTGCTCCTTCAACATTGCTGCCCCCTCCCACTCCACAACTCTGTACACTGGGTCTCCCCTGTCTGGCAGGGCTTCCCCGAGCTCTTTCATCCCAGCTTCCCTCAGCTTAGTGTCCCCTCCTCAGAAAAGTCCCTTCTTACATCCTACTCCACTGCTCCAGACCATGGGACCCACTTCCCAATCTGTCACTATGAACTCAGCTTTCTACAACTGCCTCTTTGTCTAGCTCAGAAGCCTAAAGACACCTACTATGTCTGAGTTCCTCACCGTTTGCACACCTAACACCAAGCATGGTATGTGGCACTTAGTAGGGCCTCAAATATTTGATGAGTGAATTAAATAAAGGACATTTCCTCTATTTTTCATATCAGATTACTGGATGACAGGTTCTATTCCCAGAGTACTGCCTTTCAAGCTTAAATTGGTGTCCTTAATCTTTCTTTTTTGTCTTTTAATTTCTTTGAAAAACAGACCACAAATATGTACACTGTTGGCCGAGTTAGCTGTGACATCGAATTAAAAGTGGAAAATGTGAAATCAGGCAACGACTGTGAGGATGGTGCAAGACCAGGCAGCGTTTTGTTCTGTTGTACCTAAGGTCGCTAAGAGTCAGAACCAACTGGACGGCACCTATCAACGGGAGCAAGGTTGACTCCGAGTCCTGCACTATGCAGACTACATGAGCCTTACTTCCTCCACTGTCATGTATTTGTCTACAATCACACGAACTCAAGGGGCCCCACACAATACCCAGCAAACGGCTGGTGCTCCGTAAACGCTACCTGCTGCCACTAAGTCAATCCCCAGTCACTGCAACTA